TAGCTCAGTGGTAAATGTCTCTGACTGCGAAGCTGGGTGACACTGGATCGAATCCGTCAGAGAGCATCAGTTCCCTCAAGATTACAGGTACACCTTGCTGACGAGTGCCAAGTAGCACGAAACCCGGGTCCAGGGTTTCCTGTCGACTACCTCCAACCACCATCTAATCTCAATATATAGTGCACGCAGTGTCGAGCCACCTAAACTGCTGGCCACATTGCAACATGGTCGTTAGCATTCGATCTGCATTAAATAAGGACTTGACACACATGACATTGATCACCAGCCAGTGATCAATCAATTGTGAATAAGCAACATAAAACCTGACAACTGTGTTCATCTATTCAAGTTGACATACAACATCAACATAGTGAAATGAAATTGTAGAGTAGAATGGGTAGTAACAGTGTTATAAGTGGTAGAAACGATTGAATATTGATAATATAAGTAAAGAAAAAATGAACGAATTCATGGAATAAAATATAAAAGATAACCTTTAAACTCAAAATCTATCAGACGATAAGGAAAAGATATAGCTGTGACATTGTAACTGATTTTGAGGCATGTCATTCAACGTCTTCCACCAGTGACTACGATTCATGAGAGAACCGCTACTAGGTAAAATGAAAATAAAGTGTAAACAATATTATTGCATATTCGTTCCTAATTGTAAATTTTTGTACTTTCCTGTTGCAAATATTCAGTAATGAGTTCGATCATCCCTTGTTTTTACGGACCCCTTTGATGAATTCCTTCATTTTGTCAACATATACAAGTTAATTATATTTAAAGAGTGATTCATAATAAAATCCATGTCTCACATTCCATTCTGTTTAGGTATTCTCAGCTCGATGTATATGGATCTCATTGTTGGTGTTCATATTTAACATATATCATATTGATTGAACTTTATCGATAAAATTGCACTGTAACCACTAGTTTAGCGACTTGATGTTAATTGGTCAAAAGAAATCGACGAGAAATCCCAGATCAAGATTTCATGCTAAATGGTACTCATCAACAATACTGTTATAACTTGTCGTCTGAATGCTTATTATCTTGGCTCTTTTAATGCTGATTGTTATGTTAGAAACGCTTATCACTTAAACTCGGAACGAGGGACCTCTGTAATTCCCACGATGGGAAAGTAAGAACACAAAGACTGGTATAAGTGATGATTTATTAACCCCAAAACACGTCGATGACGAAAACTCTAGTAGAAAATACACTCATTTATATATTGATTGTACACCCATTTTCATTAATAATTAGGATAAAATCACATATATGAAAAATACTTAGAGTTATAACGAATCACATACTAAGCATAGTCCATATCAATGGAATACAAGAATATCGTATATTATACAGAATAAAATATTATACGAGAAAAGAAACCAAATACTACATTGAGTAGTCATTACATTGAATCAAAACGGAAGTAATCTTGAACACACACCGTAAGATTGTGATTTGTATACAGTGATAAATCACTAAAGAGTATGAAATGTCATGAAAGACTAGCCTAAAAGACTAATTATTTATTATGGCCACTGAATCGTTTCAACGATATGATATCTAATATCAGATTGGTTTTGTGGATATTATAGTAATTTCAGTGGTTAAGATCATGAGTCAGTTGAAGCTAGACCACCATGAAAAACCTGGAAGCACTGGATTAGTTGAAGTTAGACATTAACACCGTTGGATGTCGACTCATTGGTCCAGTGGTTAAGTGCTCGCGCGCGAAACCAGTAGGTCCTGGGTTCGAAACTCGCATGGGGGCGAAGTCGTGGATGCTCACTGCTGAGGAGTCCCACAATATGATATTTACCAACAATGTATTCGATCGCTTGATTTACTATGAAAATAGGTTACAACTTATTTTGAATTAAATGGGAATAAAGTCAAAATAATAAGTGAAACAGAATAATATGAAGTCATTTTAGTTCCTTATTTCTTAATCAGCTACTCGCAATGGTATTCAGATTGAAATGAGCTACTGAGATACAGTATAATATGGATTAATAGACAGTGGTGACGGAAAAAATCCAAGCCACAAATCTCATCATATATAACAAATACATGTGTACATTAAGTACACAAAATACATTTGTAGTTATTATGTCAAATAAATACTTCAGGATCATTATTCAAAATGGAAGTAAACAATTGCATAATGAAGTGAGTAAAGTGATTGAAGTTAGGTATGTATACCATTAAATCGCAGTTTACTGATCTAAAAGTTATACATTTGCTCATGAAATTGAAATTCCTTGGTTCTTGTTCTCGGTTGCAGGATTGGATGTGCTGAGGTGTCCCATGTTGATACGCAGCGATCATCAATTACTTTTAGGTTTTCAACGGTTCCCTAACTTGGGTCGGTTCGTCATCTCATATATAGGAAATTAGTCGAAAAAGATCGCTTTTCTAAATTTTATGTTTTTTAAAATATTTATTCTTACTAGTTGTTTTCCAATTCATAAAATGAAATGTTTTGTTTTGTAAGTTATACCCCCCAAATACTCTGGTACGATCAAAGTAAGGGTGAGTACGCTCTCCTTCTCCAAATGCTCTTACATGGACTAACGTATACAGCCACTAAATGAAAAGTCCTGTCCACTGCCTTCTCGTGGTGGGGGTATTGTTTACGAAATTGAGAGGACGAAAAGCGAATGTTCAGAGCTTTAGGCAGATTAGTGGATATGGAAGATCCACCTGGGGGAGTTGAAAAACCCCGCTTCTAAATCAATGGTGCACATGAGCTCCAAAATTCAGAGGGAACAGATAGCGTACCAACCATGGGACTGTATCTCCTGACGTTCTTCCACTGTCTTGTAGATTATACCTTTAAGTCAAAGGCTCAGGTTGTGGTCAAAGAAAACCACCTGCTTTAGTTTTGTCACCCGGATAGTATCACAATCTTCATACAAATCAATGACAACTACTACTAGCCTCTTCATCGACGAAGATGGTTGGGCCACGTGTTACGTATGCCTGAACACCGACTACCACGGCGCACAATGCTGAATAGTGGAGGAGATTGCTTGAAGAAATTTAGAGGTGGCCCAACCAAAACGTGGCATCAGTCCTTGAAGCCACTAACTTGTAGTCTGAGCCATACTGTGTGATGCAGATTACTTGGTTGCGGTTGATTGGAGACTGAATGGTATGGCTCAGAATCAATCACAACGGCATCGGTGTATACACTCTTTGTCTGTCCTTAAACAGTGAGATTAAAATTGCTTAATACCTTTCTTTCTACGAACTAATTCTTTTTTCTTGTATTATATCCTTATATGCAATCTTTCTTTTATATATTACCACCACTGAATTAACTATTTCTATGAATCCGGTGTTCATCTTGCTGTGCTAATGAGGTGTGGAACAGATGTGTCTGGTCCTGAGTCGTAGCTGACTGACTGACGGAATACTAGCCTCATTGTTATTGTGTTGCGCATATGTATTTGGTGCCCCATTGTACCAATTTTCATGTGTTCAAATAAAAAATAACAATAAAGTTATATCCGTCTAATTGTAGACTAATATCATATAAATAATAGTTAAAGGTGAAATGTTTATCAAATCATGTCTAGAAAGAACAAAATGAATAACTTTGGAAATGAAAATCAATGAAAGTAGACTCAATGGTATAGAAAGTAAATTCTTAGCTGCCAGACTCGAATTTTCTGGGTTCAAAACTTCATAAAGGAATGAGTGTCTCTGTTATTGAGTTTTTTGGCCTATGATCTGATTCCGACTTGGATGAACGAAAGAGTATACCATGAATATAAATCTCCCATTTAACTTCGTCTATTACATCTAGGTAAACCCAATTTGAGCGATGGCGGTAATCAGAAGCCAAATACGGACTAAGTTAGACGTCAGGTATTCATTTACTTAGACAAAGATTAAGATGAGAAGCAAGAAAGCGAAGTGAAGGAGGTAAGCATTTCAACTCATCTTGATAAAGCGTCACTCACTATTTATAACCAGATAAAAATAATCTAAAGACGTGCGATAAACGGGTTAAGGGATATGCTCAAAATGGATAATGAGTATTACAACAAAGAAACAGGGATTATATTAAATAACGAGTGATAGACGTATATTTCCTGTGGCTCACAATTTCCGATGAAAAGATCAGTTATTATGAAGGTAAAAATGACTCAATAGTTGTCGTCTGAGTTACCCAAACCCATTCAAAAGCTAGGATAGATCATGTGTGTAGCAGTTTAATGAACGAAAACTCAGGTGGGGATAACCAATTTTGTTATTAATTACAGATTTACAGAGTTTTCTCCTAAAATGTGAAAACCATACATTAAATACACCATCAATTATCTCAAACTTCATCGCTCCGTCATTGCTATTAAAATCACTCTCTGTTCTCGTTCTCTTCTCTTTGATCTTTTCAACCTTCTGCTATCAGGCACTCCACTTGTGATTGATGTTACCTACTACGTATGTCAACAGACATAAATAACATAGACCACAGTAGTACTATATACTACAGCTCTATTCTAGGATGGAAACAACTGTTCAGTACTTCAGGATTTTCGATCTTTATCTACCCACTGTTCGTTCATCATGTCGATTTTCCGCAGACATAACTTAACCACGACTGCTTTACTTACTTCAATAATAATTTAGACTAGAAAAAGGTTTGTTAATTTATGGTTTATTAAGTATCACAATAGTGTTGGTGCATACACTCTCTGTCTTCCCTTAAACTGTGAGATTAAAATTATTTCATATCTTTCTTTCTACGAACTAATTCTTTCTTCCTGTATTATATCCAAACATAAGATCTTTCCTTTATATATTACCACCACTGAATTAACTACTTTTATAAATCTGGTGTCCATCTTGTTGTGTTATTGAGGTATGGCAGCTTGGACCGATGCATATGTGCCTAATCCTACGTCGTAGCTGACTTACTGACTGATTGAAGTACCTGTTATAACACTAACAGGATATTTTATATTTTCTTCTAACAGCATTCGCTATCAAATGTCGTGTTTGTTTACCATGTGAAGACAAATACAAAAAATTATTCCAAATTACAAAAGATGAAATTTTAGACAGCTGTGGAGTTTGTATTGTAAGTCAAGAGAAAATAACCTCATATTATAGTAAAATAAAGAAGGTTTTATTTTTAATTTATTGTTTGTATTATGAATAAACCAACAGTCTACTGTGGGAGAGAACAGACCAGCTCTCATCTGAAGAAGAAATTACAAAAAGACGATGGAAATGGATAGGACATATATCACGGAAATCATCAAACTGTATCACGAGGCAAGCACTAACTTGGAATCCTGAAGAGAAGAGGAAAAAAGGAAGGTCAAAGAACACATTATGTCGGCAAATAGAAACAGATATGAAAAGGATGAATAACAACTAGAAAGGATTGCCCATGAAAGGGTTGGATGGTGAGTGCTGGTGAGCGGCCTATGCTCCTCCACGAGGAGTAACAGGCGTAAGAAGACAAAAAAGAAGAAGTATCGTGAATAAACATTATGAAGGCATATTTCACTATATATTAATATCAACTGGAGGATAAATGGAAACATGTATTGCATTGAATAGCTGTGTTTACATCAGTTTGGTACTCATTGGTATTGGTACAACCAAGATCAACATGAAATTAATAACCATAGTTCCCGATTCCTGCTTATACTCTTACTACCTCTACGACTACGGGATTCGAATCGACAACTGCATCTCTGTGCTAATGTGGTATGGCAACTCGAACTGATGTACGTACGTACGAGGTTATAGGTTGTTGCTGACTGACTGACTGAATAGCCATAGTCATGTCTTACATATGTACATGCAAAATGTTTGCAGATTTTTCGTATATGTGACTGCTGAATAACCATACAGTTGTCTTGTAAGATATTTAATTATCTAATTTATATTGAGGAAGCAGATTTCTAGAACATGTGTACATATAATTGGGCGATAAACACACACCTAATTATAGATTTACACCACACACTGATTTTAATTAGACAACTATTTTTAACCATTAGAAGCATTAGAAAGCTGTTTAGTATCAGCATAAAACTCCTTTCCAGTTCATGTTCTAAAAATCACACATGGACAAACTCAGATTCTTTAGGTCTCCTGACAAGGAAGTAACCTTCAGACCATTGAGGTGATATTTAATAGTTTACATTACTAAATTCAGTCAATTTATGATCGTAAGAGATCCTTTTCCATTGTGAATAGCAATAGTTGTCTAATGGCTGACATAATTTTGCATATTTGATATCTTATTTCAAAACATTTGAAGAGCATAAAAACAAAGATCTTAGCAGAATAACATGATTTCACTTTATTTTGTTTACTTCTAATCAACTGATTGATACCTGGGGAATTTTGCAATCGGGATCATAAAATTAGTTGAATATATTCACATAAATGAGTTTGAATTCACTTGATATTAGTTGGCTTGTATCTTCCCATTGAGGTTTAAAACTGCGATTGATCAATCTGTTATCGGCATATGTGCATACTGTGCCTATGCCTCGATATTGCCTTGATTCACAAGCTTTTTGTAAGCAATAATGGGTAGTGGCTAGCAGTGGAATCCAGGACGCGCGTTTCATTCTATTTGGGACTTGTCAGCTGAATGTACCTGAATCTCAGAGTTGATGTTCATTCTGGGACTCGAACCCAGTACCATTCACTTCAAACAACATCGCGTTATCCACTTAGCTACTGAGTCCTGATAGCCACTTGCTTCGTTACAAAGTATTGTCAATACATCATTATAAAATACCAGGAATACAAATAATATTAAGAAACTAAATCAAACATTGTATATATACGGATCATATATAGAAGTGTGTTTTTTCTTAATAATGTTTTGTTTTTCTTCAATTTCTTATTTACAGACAGCTTACTCAACTTTCCAAGGTTATCAAATGGAAGGTCGAGGTTGTTTACTTAAATGTCCACCTAAAGATGCTATCAATGAGCTTACTCCAGGACTTGTTAACAAGTATAACTGTTGTTATTATGATTTATGCAATAGAACAAACAAATTATTTGTACAGTACAAATTAATTATTCTGATTTCATGTTTATTCAATTCATTATTTATTATTGTGAATAGATTTAGTGTTTGTTAAATGTAAATACATGTCAGCATTCACCAAGACATATTCTTATCATATATTTACGAGTGTTGTTTAATGCGATTACCAAATTTTTGTGACTTTTAGCCCGCAAAGCTTTTAGTCTTGCTCGCGAACGCTTAGATACTGAACGGCTGTTTCGTCTTAGTATGGGACTCTTCAGCAGCGCGCATTTACGATTCCGCCTCGTGAGATTCCAACCCAGGACCTACCGGTCTCACGTGCGAACGCTTAACATCTAAACTTTTGAGTTGGCATCCAGTGGTGTTAATGTCTAACTTCAACCAATTCACGAAATTGTGCCACTGTCCATCATTGTCTTTAGTGAGTTACTATCTCACAACAGACCCGACTGAACTCCACTGGTCACTGCTTCTCATTAGAACTCCAGGAAATACCTCTTAGAGACCATCACCGGTGAGCATATGATGATCATATGATAATTATCATTTAAAACAATCAAATATTTCTTAAGATAAATGATCTGACAATGTTGTATTTATGGTTCAAAACTCTAGACTAGCGTATTTCGTAGGAATTACTAATAATCATAGAACAATATAACTTAACAGTAAAAGTATGTATAAAGCTACTTCCCATTACTTTGACATTTGTGACCGAAAAAATGACTTTATCTAAAAAAAACCAGAAAAAACTGCTATGTGTTGAACACAAAACTGTTATATATTATTCAGTAACTCGTCAGTAGCGCTCATTTGCAATCTCAGAACCATTGGATTTTAAGAGACGCACAAATACTTTAGATCTCTAGATTAGAATACAATACTTCATATTCTCAACTACAATCATATTTTTTTATTGAGATCATGAACCGATTGATGTTAGACCATCACAATTGAGAACCTGGAAACACTGGACGGCCGTTTCATCCTATTGTGGGACTCCTCAGCAGTGCGCATCCACGATCCCGCGAGCGCGATTCGAACCCAGGGCCTTCGGTCTCGCACGCGAACGCTTAACCAACTGGACCACTGAGCTGGCATCCAATGGTGATAGTTTCAATTGTGATGGTCTAAATCAATCGGTTCATGATCTCAATCAAAAACTTAATAATCTCCACAACCCCTATACTACAATCATATTGCCAACTCAATGAAAGATCCAGATGGGATTGCGTGCACTCATTACTGAGTTTCATATCAAAACGAAACAACCTTAAAGTACTTCGCTGTTTTTAGAGATGATCTGTTTAAATTATAGCCATAATTTCAATTACCTACAAATCGAACAATTTCAACTAGTGTCACTTCGTAAACATTTGTTTATCTAACTGTTCATGAAATATTTATCAGTTATCGTAAATGTGGACATAAAAAGAGTCCTACAGTTGGACGAAATGGCCGTCCAGTGATTACAGGTTGTCCATGGTGGTCTAGCTTCAATTGACTCATGATCTCAACTATTAAAATTACTATAATATCCACAAAACCCCCTCTGATACAAATCAGCATGTGCTCACTAATGATTGGCTTCAAGAGGTGTTTCCTGGAGTTCTAATAAAAGCAGTAATCAGTGGAGTTCAACCGAGTCTGTTGTGAGATAGTGACTCACTGAAGACAATAGTGGATTCGTCGCTCAATTTCGTGGATTAGTTGAAGTTAGACATCAACACCGTCGGATGCCGGCCAGCTCAGTGGTCTAGATTTTAAGCGGTGATGCGCGAGACTGATAGATCTTGAGTTCGAATATTACGAGACAGGGTCGTGGATGAGCACTGGTGAGGAGTCCCGTAATAGAAGGAACCACCGATCATTGATTCCAGGTTTTCCATGTTGGTCTAGCTTCAATTGGCTCATGAGTTGAACTATTAAAATTACTATAATATCCACAAAAACCCCTTCTGATATGAATGTATAAATATTGAAAAGATTAGGTAACAGACAAATTTATGTGAATACAAATATGCTCACCATGTCAAAGAAAGATCTGTCACACTATCCCTCTGAATATATAATTAAGGTCGGAAAGGTCTGAACGCAGTAAACTTCACAAATTAAAAATGTTATGGCTTCCGTCTTTTAATTGAAGTATTTATATTATCTCAATTATTTATTAGATATCTAATCGTTGCTTCTGTGAAAACTTTGTTGTCAGACACAGATTCTTAGGTACTTCTGAATGTGGATAGTATAGTATTGTTAACAAATATTCCCACACTTTTAAGTGTAAGGGTTTCTATTCAAGTTTTCACTAATGAGATACAAAATGGTGAGTAAAACAATCATTTTCTAATTTGTTCGGACCCACTGAAACATAATTTATCTTTGCGCAATATACTATTGTAATAACATTTTTGACCAAGTCAGTAAAACGATAATCATGGAACATGTATTCACCATAGAGTCTAGTGAATCAAAATAACTTAAATAAAAGTGATAAACACTTAAGTGTTGAAATAAACGTTTAATCTACTTTGTAATTTCTCCACTTATTCTTTGCTATAAACTGAAGCTCAAAACCTATCAGATCGATAAACAATAATACAAGACTACATTGTCATCAATTTGTTCCTTTTCAGTTTGGGGTTGTAAGGATTAATGAATTTCATTGAAATCATGAACTGATCAATGTCAGACTACCATTGAAATCCTGGAAGCGCTGGACAGCCTTTTCGTCTTAGTATGGTACCCATCAGCAGCGCACAGCCACGATCTTGCAACAATCTCCTCAAATCTAAACTGAAAATTATCATGTTCTCACTTATAACTAGCTTAGAGAGTTAATTCTCAGGTTTCGATTGAGAAACCGTAGCCAACGGAATTCAACAGTGTCGGGTATGATGTTAAGTGTTCAAGCAAGACCGAAGGTCCTTTTCTGGAATCCCGCGTGCGGAACCATGTTCATTCGCTGATGGGAGGTTCTATACTAGAAACTGCAGTTCAGTACTTCCAGGTATTCAATAGTGGTCCGACACTGATTAGTTCGTGATTTCAATAAAATTTCTTCTTTCATTAAATAAATTACTTATTTATTACTGGCTGATATCCTATGATCAAGAATGGAAATAATTAGTTTAACGATGTAAGTGAATAAACGATCTGATGAACTTTACTAGATAACGAATAATCAGTTACGATCGATAATGAATGCTTCATACCTATCTACTTTGATTTCTCGATGTTTGATTTACGATGGGATACAACCAGAATCTGTTAATATCTACTCTAATAAAAAGAATGAACAAATTACCATTTTTTCACAGCTTCAAAGTCGTAAATGACAAAACTTTGATTTCCGCTCAAATAATCCCAGAGGAGATTAAAGAAGCAGGTAACAAAACGTTGTATAATCATAATTTAATGTTAGTGTATACGTTATATCTTTTAGACATGGATTTATTATGAGCTCATTTCAAATGTTTGTGATATCTTAACAAATACGAAGAAACGTTTGCAGAAGTTTACACTATCATGTACATGGTATTCTTCATATGGTCGGTCTCTGTTGACAACTATGGATCATCAAGGGATTCTTCGATAATATCTGTATCTGCCATTTTAATCAAAGATCTGTTTAATTACTTACTTACACACTTACTTACTTACGCCTGTTACTCCCAATGGAGCATAGGCCAAAGACCAGCATTCTACAACCCACTCTGTCCTGGGCCTTCCTTTCTAGTTCTGTCCAATTTTTGTTCATTTTTCTCATGTCTATCTCCGTTTCTCAAGGTAATGTGTTTTTTGGTCTTCCTCTACTCCTCCTTTGACCCAGAAGATTCTAGGAGAGGGATTGCACTGTGACGCAGTTGCGTACTTTCCTCAATGTGTGTCCTATCCAATTCCAACACTTCTTCCTGATTTCTTCCTCCGCTGGGATCTGGTTTCTTCTCTCCCACAGTACGTTGTTGCTAATAGTGTCCAGCCAACGGATCTAAAGTATTTTTCGTAGACAATTGTTAATCAACACCTGTATCTTCTGGATGATGGCCTTCGTAGTTCTCCAGGTTTCTGCCCCATACAGTAGAACTGTCTTGACATTTGTGTTGAAAATCCTGACCTTGGTGTTGGTTGACAGTTGCTTTGAGTTGCAGATGTTCCTCAGTTGTAAATATACTGCTCTTGCTTTGCCGATGCGCGCCTTAACATCTGCATCAGATCCACCGTGCTCATCAATGATTCTGTCCAGATATGTAAAGGTTTTTACATCTTCCAAATCTTCTCCATCAACTGTGATTGGATCGGTGCATGCTGTGTTGTATCGGAGAATCCTGCTTTTCCCTTTGTGTATATTGAGACCTACTGCTGCTACATTGGTCGTCTTCTCCTGCATTTGTTGTTGGGTTTGGGATAGAAGGGCCAGATCATCTGCGAAGTCTAGATCGTCTAACTGCATCCTAGATGTCCATTGTATCCCGTGTTTCCCTTCAGATGTTGACCTCTTCATGATCCAGTCGATTACCAGGAGAAAGAGAAAGGGTGAGAGTAAGCAACCTTGCCTGACACCAGTCTTTACTTCGAACGAGTCTGTGACCTGTCCTTCATGCACAATTTTGCAGTTTAATCCATCATATGAATTCTGTATGATATTGACTATCTTCTGAGGCACGCCGTAGTGTCGAAGAAGTTTCCATAGTGTTGTTCTGTCCACGCTATCAAATGGTTTTTCGTAGTCCTGTTTAATTAACGGGTGGATATTTCGATTCAGTAAATTCATGAATAATACATTAACGTTTTTAAACGATAGTTACGGGGTTAATATCTCGGTGTGAATATCAATAATGAACTGAAGGCAAGTTTATTTGATGAGTCTTATATTGGAAGAAAATTACTTCGAAGACTCTATTAATCACCATAATCTGAAATATTCGGTGAGACTGTAATTTATGCACGGCATTTGAACGGATCTTATGTGATCTTGAGGAATATTAGGCAATCATAAAACAGTTAATATGAAGTAAAATTAGATTATATGAAACCAAAGAATTAAAGTGGATACACTTCTTTTACATGGTTTATAAACTTGTCAAGGTT